GTTTAAAGTTAATAACATAACATCTAAATTAATATAAGTATTCTTGTTCTTAGTAAACTATAGATACTACCTTTAAATAAGATTTAAACTACTTATAAATACCTCCTAACTAACTAATTAATTTATATAAGTAATAGATGTAAATAAACTTATTAATAAAATTTAAAATATATTTAAATATATTTATAAAAAGCTTATATAAGCTTAAGCTTTTTAACAAGAGTACATAAACTAATCTTAAACCCCTACTTCTATGTATGCAGCTAGCAAAAAAGTTTACCTAGACGCTAGAAATATCTAAATAAACTAATAATTAAAAAAACTTAATTAGAAAAACCTTAGCCTTTTTATAGTAGCTTATATAGTTTTATTACATGCTTACTAATTAATCCTACCTAACAGCATAAAGATACACCCTGTGTTCCACGTATTGTTGCTGCGCTAAGTAGCCTCTAAATCTAACTATCTACCTAGACAGCTAAACCTGCTACTTAAACCTGTTATTATAAATAACAAACTAGAATATGTTATAAAAGATATTAAATAGATTTAGTTTAATAAAAAAAAACATATCTATAAATACTTTATAAAATAGACTAAATACAACAAACTGTTGTAGGAACCTATAAAAGCCCTATAAAAGAACTCTACAGTAACCTAATTCTATGCCTAATACCTATCTAAACTAAACCTATACCCTAATAAAGACAACCTAATGCTAGAACTACTAATGTAAAGGATTTCCTTCCTAATAAGGGGGGAGGTACTGTTACAGTATCCTCTCTAGATCCTAGACATAACTATATTAGACGTGTACTAGAGTATTATTAGTGCATGTCTAACATAAATATAACATAACATAGACATAAACTTAAGTATAAACTGCTTTAACACTAACTAAACCTAAAACAGGCTTAATTTATACCTAAAGCGCTTAGACTTTTAAGCTAAGTATTTAATTACTAATTTCTTTCTAAACCTTCTTGTTCCTTACACAACGTCTTGTACCTACTATAATACCTCACGTAGTAATTAAACTAGACCTCCGTGAAGCTCTATAACCTTACTCGTGCACAATCGTGACAAAAGCATAGTAAAAACTTTATTTTTATAATAACGTACTTTACAGGCGAGTTGCTTACACACCTAAGTTACTTACTTTACTAAGACCCTACTAAACTACTTTTTCTATACTAATGTATTTCTTATAACACTACTTAAATATGCTAAAAGAATGTTAGATACAGCTTACACTTTAAGCTTTTAAATAAAATATAAAACTTTTAAAGAAACATGCTGCAGCTATATGTAGAGTTCTATAAAAGATAATAAATAACTATAGTACTAGATAATATTTACAAGCTAATTCTACAGCTAAATTATAAAAGCTAAGTAATAAAAAAAAGTAGGGAATTATTAAGACTATACTTAAGCTATATGCGCAAGAAATTTGTCTTTAAATAGCATTTATAGCTAATATAGCTAATTCTTTGCACACTAAGCATAATCTAGGCTATGTTTATAAAGTGTTATTTAAAGCTTAAAGTAATATTTAAGTGTAAGTAACTATAAAAAAGCTTTTTATAAGAGTTTTAAAGTAATTTAAAGTAGGTTTAGCCTTAGAAAGAATATTAAAGCTAAGTATAGCATTTAAAATAATAACACATATAACTTTAATAAAATAGGCTTTATAATTAGCTAAATATTTTTTAACTATACTTACACTTAAAACTTTACTTTAAGCTTTAAATAACACTTTATAAACATACTAAGCTAGTTTATGTAAATATAGCCTAAATTATAGTTAGCGTGTAAAAAATTAGCTATATTACCTATAAATGCTATTTAAAGGGAAATTCCTTACGCATATAGCTTAAGTATAGTCTTAATAATTACTTACTTTTTTTTATTACTTAGCCTTTATAATTTAGCTATAAAATTAGCTTATAAATATTATTTAGTGCTATAGTTATTTATTATCTTTTATAGAACTTTATATATAGCTGTAGCATGTTTTTTTAAAAGTTTTATGTCTTATTTAAAAGCTTAAAGTATAAGCTGTATTTAACATTTTTTTAGTGTGTCTAAGTAGTGTTGTAGAGAATATATTAGTGTAAGAAAAGTAGTTTAGTAGAGTCTTAGTAAAAGTAAGCAAGTTAGGTGTGTAAGTAACTTGCCTGTAAAGTACGTTATAACTTAATATAAGTTAAAAGAAACTAATCTAGCACTTTAAAACTTTTTTTAAATATTACTAGAAGTAATTATAGCATTATAAGCTACTTTAAAGGATAGTAAAAATTTTATTTTTATAATATAAGTAATTTAGTTATATATAAGCTTTTTAGCTTAGCGCCTATATACTTTTTTTTAAAAGAGTAACATAACCTATATTAAGTAGCTATAAAAAGTATAATAAGTAAAAAAGTATATAAATAATAATAATTTTATTATCTTTATAGTATTACTAAAAATAAAGTAAGTTATAGCTTTTATAGCTGTTAATAACTAGTAAATAGTAGCTACTAATAGTACAATAGGTGCTAAGAAGTCATCATCCTCTCGCTTAACTTACTATATCGGGTCAACCCACACACCTCAAAATTTTCCGCACCACTCGTTCTCCTCCTTCTCCACACTACCACCATGCCTTCCTAACCTAAAACTGCTTACTGTGAATATAATAAGCCTACCCTTACTAGCATCTAGGCGCTCTCTTGTATTAGTTTTAGCCTTTTAAAGATATAAAAGACTTTTTCTATTTTAATTTTATTAATTAAGTTAATACTTAAGCAGTTATAAAAATATAAGAATAAGCCCTAAAAAAAGGCCTGTTGCATAAAAAGACCCCTAAAGCTTAATAAGCGCGTAGAGTAATAATTAGTACAACACCTAGAGCAGTTTCTCTTTAAAATGTACAAAGTACTTACTACTTCTAGAAAAACAACAACTGCAATCTGCTGCAATCTACGTTAATATAGTAAAGCAATACCTGCAAAAAAAATAAGTACTACGCATTTAAACTACGCGCTAAGCCTTACCTTAAGCCCTCTTATAAGCTTAATTATTATTGCTAGGGTGCTTATATAAAAACCTAAGATAATAACAACTTTAAATGTGTTTACTTCTCTAATAAATTAACTTTTAAAGTAGAACTTGTCTCTACTACCTAATACTGCAAGTAGAAGAAAAGAGCATTGTGTGTGTATAAATCTTAATACCTAAAGCCTACTTTTAAGAGCAGGAGAAGCTCTGTTAGAGTATAGGCAGCTATATCTTAGGATTTTAAGTTAGAGCTAGTTATACTGCTTTAAGGTAAGCAAATAAACTTAAAAAGATACTATAATAAAGTCTTAGCTACTTACACGCAGCTATTTTATGCTAAAGTCTTTAAGAAACATAGTATTATGTTATAGTAAAAGAATAAGGCTTTATACTACAGGTTAAAGATAACTACAGGTTTCTAAGAAAAGCTTTACATAAATTATATAGTGTAGCTAGTATAAAGTTTTAATTTAAATCCTATTAAGAACCTTTAGCGCATTATAAAGATTTAGATTTTAAAAAAAAGACACTAAATAAGCAATATTAAAAAGATAAAGTCTATTCTAAAGGAGAAGTAGAATAGGTTAAAGCTAGAAGATTAGCAGAAGTGTATATTATCTATGCCCTAGCGCGTCGCTGACGTTAGGGCTGCCCAGGGAGGCTCTACCTGCTAGTAAATAATTACTACTCTAAAAGATTCTCTGTTATTAATTCTATTATATAAATTAAAAGCTTTAATTTTTAATTGCAATCTATCCCTAAAATCCTTATAGAAAACTGCGTGGGCAGATCGTATTCGCTTGCGCACGGTGCGGAGGATGATCACTTCCTAGCACCTACTGTACACTTTTTTATATGCACATTAAAGTGCTTTAACTAGTCTAAACTAAGCTAATTAGTAGTTTAGCTATGCTTAAAAACTATAATAACTTAATTTTAAAGTAGATTTTTTTTATACTAGTTTAAAAAATAACTATAACTTTAAAAAATAATAAAAAGTAAAATAGCTTACTTTTTAGTATTAATGCTTTAGGTAGCTATTATTTACTTCTAGTTACCTAGCTAGACTGCTTTTAGCTATTTTTATCTCTTTAAACTTATAATAACTGCTTTAGTAGATATTTAGCCTATTATAAACCTTATTTTATTAAAGTTATATATGTTATTATTTTAAACACTATACTTAGCTTTAATATTTTTTATAAAGTTAAACTAGCTTTAAATTACTATAAAATTTTTATAAAAAGCTTTTTTATAGTTATACTTACACTTAAACTTTTCTTTAAGCTTTAAGTAACACTTAATAAATATATTAAGCTAGTTTATACTAATATAGCCTATATTACACTTAGTATGTAAAAAATTAGCTATATTAGCTACAGCTACTAGCTAGGAGGGAAATTTTTATACATTTAGCTTAAGTATATGCTGAATAATTACTTACTTTTTATTATTATCTAGCTTTTATAAGTTAGCAGTATAATTAGCTTAAAAAAGTTATTTAGTATATTAGTTACTTATTATTTTTTTAAAAGACTTTATAAATAGCTATAGTGTGTTACTTAAAAAGCGTTATATTTTAGTTAAAAGCTTAAAGTGTAACCTATATTTAATATTTCTTTAACACATCTAAGTAGTGTTATTAGAAATATATTAGTGTAAAAAAAGTAGTGTAGTAAAGTCTTAGTAAAAGTAAGCAACTAAGGTGTGTAAGCAACTTGCCTGTGAAGTATGTTATAACAAAACGTTTAACTAATTTTATTAAGTAGTTACAAAGATAAAGCTTCTTAGTAAGTAGGATGTTATATAGGTTTCAAGTTAGCCGGCTTAGTAGTAGAATACGTTAATTGCTAAAGATAATATAATAGTTGATAGTAGCTATAATAAAAAGTTATATCTACATAACATAGTGTTTACATTCAGAGTCATGTAACCAACTTATGTCGGGTGCGTGCCTATCAGTCATCTTTTGGCGCGCCGTTAGCCACCATATTAGCAAAACTCGTCGTCAAAAGCTCGATCGCATTGCCCCAAGGGTCCTGACAATAAGCCACTGCATTCCCCATCGGCATAGGTATCAGCTCGCCCATCCTACTCCCGCCGGCCTTAACGACCTCTCGGCAGAGCTTCTCCGGGTCCGTAACAGTCATAGCGATGTGGAAGACACCTCCCCGCGAGTAATCAAAAGCCGGCCCCTCGGGTGTCCTGTGGCAAGGGTCGATGAACTCGAATATCTCCAGTCCAACCGAGTGACCCGTCCCAAGCCATGCGAGCTTGAACTCCTGCAGAGCGTCGTCGAATAACTTGAAGATCGGGGCGCCGGGGAATTGCTCTCGTTTCAAGTGCAGCACCGGCTTCAGCAGTCGGAGGCCAAATACCGAGCTGTACCACGCGACAGCTGCCTCGCAGTCAGGCACGGAGATGCCGACGTGGTTGAATACACAGACGCATGCGTCCTGGTTGGATTGCTTTGCGCGCCGTTCAGTTAGTTCGATGTTTTCTCTTTTTCCATAACTAGGGACACTTGCCGACGACATTTTCACTTTCGGAATGAGCACAGCACTTGATGATTGGTGTTGTTCCCAATTTGAAGAGATCGTAAAAGCTAATGACATGTTCTTAGGGCTGCGTCTATTGGCTATCGGCGCATACTATGTAAATCACCGACCAGTCGAGGGCCACGTCCTCGGCATGTTTAACTCGGGGTTTCGGCGGGTTATTTTACTCGGCGGAAGTCTACGCGCGTTTGCAGAACACGCTTGCCTATAATGGGAACTTGTGAAAGTATCTTTGACAAAATAGGTCTCAGAAATCACGCCCCACGAGACATGAACCACCCGTTAAGAGATGATTAACTTGTGTATTTCATTTCCGTGTCCTCATTTTAAAAAATAAATGAGAAATTAAGAGAAAAGGGAGGGGTTAAAGAAGTCAGAGCCAGGTCACTATTAAGTGGAGCTTTTGACAGAATAAATTTACATGTTTTTAGGTTTGATGACAGTCTCGTAGAATCTGACTTCGTCCTTTCTCTTCTAAATGCAGCCTACCAAACAGGGGTTGCTCGCGTTAGAGTGATGCCCCTAGTCGGCGGATCAAAAAAGTTAGATACTTGACATCGCAACGACTTGTAGGTGAGTTCTGCCGAGGGAAGAAATACGAGCAGCTAGGTCTGAAAGGGCATGAAAGGTATCTAATGTTTAAAGCTACCATCCGTTACCAATCCCTAGACGCAAAAAGAAATCAAAACAATGTCGATACTCCGGCCGAACAACGACCTCGAGGTTCCCCTCGGATCCATCATTCTCGTGACTGGAGTCTCAGGCATGATTGCCATCCATGTCGCGGATGAGGCTCTGAAGGCAGGATTTCGCGTGCGTGGGACTGTGAGGTCAAAGCAGAAAGGGGAAGAAACTGCAAAGCTTCTCAACTCGCCAAATTTCGAGTTTGCCGTTGTCCAAGATATGGCGGCCGAGGGGGCATTCGATGAGGTCATTAAGGGCGTCTCCGCCGCCATCCATTGTGCATCCATTGTGTCCTTTTCCGGCATCATCGACGAGGTGATTAGTCCAACCATCAAAGGAACCACAAACATCCTCGAGGCCGCTCTCGAGACTCCAAGCGTGAAGAGTGTGGTTTTGACCTCGACCAGCGGTGCGGCGTCGGGTCCTCGGCCGGGCGTCAAGTTTCACATTGGCCGCAACACCTGGAACCAAGCCGCTGTAGACGTAGTGAAGAACACGCCGCCGGAGAAGCGCGCGGAGATGGGCTTTGAATGGGGTTACTTGGTCTACGTCGTATCTAAGATAGAAGCCGAGCGGGCCGCGTGGGACTTCATAGAGCAGAGGAAGCCTCCCTTCAGGGTCAACGTGATCAACCCGGCCATGAACTGGGGCAAGGTCATGGGCTCCATGGGCATCAGCGGAGGCCAAGTGATGAGCGTCTTGGATGGAAATGTTCCACCCATCCCTTCCGGTAAGCCATCTTCAATCGAATTTGCTCCGCTGTTGTCCTCCACCAAGAAACGCGGCTAACGGTGTCCCTGGCGAAGTGTACATGGCGGATACCATCGATGATGCTCGAATTCACGTTGCAGCTGCCATTGACGCCACGGTGGCTAGCGAGAGGATTTTTGTTTGCGATTCTCCTTTCAACTGGAGACTCGTCATTGAGACTTTGCAAAAGGCGTTGCCCGATGCGCAGCTCCCTGCCCCCGACCCGAACGAGCTGTTGGATATCAGCACCATTGACAACGCCCTTGGCGCTAAACTTTTGAACAGGTGGTGGGGACAGCCTGGTTACAAGGGCTTGGAGAGGACCATTCGGGAAACGTTGGAAATGTGCCTAGAAAAAAGGAATGGGCATTACAAGCGGCGGCCCCTTGATCATTGAAGCGAACGTGAAGCTAGGAGGCCTTAGAACCCCTGAGATGGTATGAGAGGCTAAACCTTAGAGTAATGTGGAAATCACGAGTTCTTGTGAATGTCCCCCTTGTTAGCTTTGAAAGTAGATACGAGCACGAAAAGACAGTATTGGCAACATATCAATTGAGGCAATCTGTGACTGGGATGAGTAGGATAAAACTTGAATGATCGCAATTCCCATCAAGTCTACTGATATTGAACAAGTCGGGGGAAAAGCTTCAGACCAGCCTGGCGCGTCTCCTCCGCAAACACCTTGTCAGTGGCGGCCAGCTGCTCACTGATGATCTCCCCGTGTTCCCATGGATAATCACTGCCAAACAGGACATGGCCGGGTTTCACAAACTCCTTCAACAGTCGCAGCTGGGGTTCGTGACCGCTGAACGCTACGTCAATGTAAAACCCACGAGCTTCCTCAATGAATTCCTCCTCCGTCTTATCAACGATGCGAAGGCGGCAGCAGAGGTTGGCGGCCCGGTTGACAATATACGGGAGAGTTCCGCCGGCATGGGAGAGAATGACCTTGCAGTTGGAAAAATCTCGCATAATGTTGGTGGTGATCAGATGAACGGCGGTCCGGGTTGTTTCGTGCGTCCAGTCGATGATGGGCGCAGCCAAAAGACGTGGCTCCTCAATAGGAGCCATGCCCTCAAAGCCTGGATGGATGAGAACCACGGCCTCGCGGCGGTTCAGCTCCTCCCACACGGCGCGGAAGTCCTTATGGCCGAGGTAGCGACCCGTGTAGCTGCTGAAGATGACGACGCCGTCCGCCTTGAGCTGGTCCAGCCCATATTGAATCTCTCCGATGCACGCCTCCGGCTCGTCTAGCGGCGGTAGCGTCGCGAAGAACCCTATCTTGCTAGGGTGCTCATCACGGAACTTGGCTGTGTATTCGTTGATCTCTCTACAGATGGGGGCCACTTGGGCGGGGTCATCAACGTAGGGGTGGATGGGGTGGCCGAGAGATAGAATGGCAGTGCCTAGGCCGACTTGGTCTATCACCTGAAGAGTTCCTTCTTTCGACCAGGAGGGGAGATGGAGACCTCGGGCTTTCTCAATGTTCGCGAACCACACTGATGGATATGTTTTCAGTACAAGATATTATCAACCAAATCCAATGGGTCTGTTGACCTACATTCATTGAAGCGGGGAGGAATAAGATGGTGGTGAGTATCAATAGTGCCCGGCATCTTGGTGTTGGGAAAGTCAATTGGTGATGGGCTGTCAAGTTGTCTCGTCTGGTTTCGATCTGCTTCGACCGTTTGTGATATTCAAACCCGGCATGTCAAGCTCATAAATAATAGGTACCGGTTTCTCAACATTCATATCGTGCCGGGTAAGAATTATGGTTCCGTACCATAAGAGGTCTGGTAGTGTGACGAGATGCTCTCGTTTGCGAACGAATTCAGCTGATGCGTCCGACCTCCCGTGATTGTCAGGCCATTGCCAAACTAAACTTCAAAAAGCCCCAGGGAGGACTGTATGTGAATTCGGGGGTTTATGGACTGAGCAATGCCACTGACTAATATTTTAGGTGGGTCAATGCTTGCTATGTCTTTCGGTGGGTTATCGGCGTGTTAACCAACAACCTCTTCCTCTTTTGACGGACAATCATGGCCCAGGAGAGATTGGAAGAAACGCTCTCGTGGGTAGCCTAGAGGTAGGACGAACAAAGCTGCTAAAAAGGAAGACTTAGGCACAGTGTAACAGTGGACATAGGCCTTTTCCTGCCCCGAACCGCAAACGTGCGCCCAACGTTCTAATATCGAGGCATCAAATCATGCAGGTCATTTCGTGGACCAAGATTGGAGATTTTTCCCCTCTCCACGTGTTTGGGGTTTTGGCAATTTCTGTGGGTGCAATCTTCCCGGTTAACGAATGTTGTAGGTGTCGTGAACTAACACTCCTAGTATTGTGCGTATTATATTCTATACGCTGTCTATGCGACGACGGTGAGCCCACTCGCGAAAGTCCCAGGCCCCCTTTCCCGCAAGTTCTCTTACCTCCCTTGCGCCATCACGAGTCTGCGAGGTAGAGAGTCTCATGCCGTTCGCGACCTTCATAGCAAGTATGGACCGGTGGTCAGGGTCAGCCCCGAAATGGTCTCCTTCGCCGCACCGACCTCCTGGAAAGAGATATACGGTTACCCGGGTGTGAAGAAGTTCAAAAAATCCGGATACAGACAGCTGCGTCCCGGGGTCCCGGACTTGCTCACGGCCAACGGCGTGGATCACGCCCGGCAGAGGGCCGCGCTGAACCGCGCCTTTTCAGACAAGGCGTTGCGGGAGCAGGAGCATTATTTCCAGGACCACATTGACCTCTTTCTCAAGAGGATGGAGCAACGATGCGATGAAGGAAATCCTATCAACATGGTCAAATGGATGGAATTCCTTGCATTTGACATTATCGGCACCCTGGCATTTAGCAGTTCCTTCAACTGCCTGGAAGACCAAGGGTATCATCCCTGGGTGACGCTACTTATGAACTTCTTCAAATCGACGCACTACGTCCTCACAGCCAGGATGTTTGGGATCTTCTTCCCTCTTGTATTCGTCTTCGGTCCGATACGGCATCTCATGAAAGGCCAGGAACATCTACGAAGGAGCTACGAAAAGGTCCAACAACGCCTCGCCATGCCCGAGGACGAGAAGCGGGCCGATTTCTGGACGTTCATATCCCGCCAGAACGAACACAAAGAGGGCTCTATGTCCATTCAGGAGATGGAGGTTAACGCTGCTCTTATTATCCCAGCGGGCAGCGACACAATCTCCACCACCATCGCAGGCTGCATCTACCTGCTGCTGAAGAATCCTGAGACAGTGGCGAGCCTGCGCAAGGAACTCCAAGCGGAGTTCAACTCCGAGTCAGAAATCACCATGGCCCGTCTAGCCAATCTACCCTATATCAGGGCTGTTGTGGATGAAGCGCTGCGCATGTATCCTCCCCTCTCGGGGGACCTACGCCGCGAGGTTCCCCCCGAAGGTGCCGCGATATGCGGCCACTTTATCCCCGGGGGAACGATTATCAGTGTCTACGCACTCGCAGCTAATGAGAATGCCCATAATTTTGCCCAGCCACACCGGTTCACTCCAGAGCGGTGGCTCAAGTCAGAGGAGCGGCCAGAATGGACGAAGAATGACCACCTCGATGCCTGCCAGCCGTTCTCTGTCGGCCCTCGGAATTGCATCGGCATGAGTCTGGCTTATGCGGAGACAAAGCTCATTTTGGCGCGGTTATTGTGGAGGTTTGATTTGGAGTTGATGGATGATGCGTTTGAGATTGAGAAACAAAAGGTTTATATCATGTGGGAGAAGCCACCTCTAATGGTTCGATTGAGGCGGCGGCCGTCGTAGATGGTCAGAAAATTTGCCAATAAACGCAATATTACAGACATAGATTTTCTACGAGTTAATACGTGATAGTGAAAGCTGTTTTGACAATTTTGATTCCCAGCTCCATGCCCTGGTGAGCGGAGATCCTATGGGAGATCGTGTGGCCAACCAATCAGGACATAAATTCACGGTGGCGACAAAGCTTGGAAATTAGATATGGGATGGAGGGGAAAAGGTGGAAATACCTCCATCTGGGTCAAGTTAATATCAAGGCAGCAATACTTTTGCACAAAGTCACAGTGAAACAAGAATTTTAGCTAAATTCTGTGATAAATTATCTCTCCTGTAGCCTCACCTTCAAAGGCTTCGGCTCATAAACTAACCACGCTTTTTGGTCTAGCCAAGATGACGCGTCCTGTTCAGCTAACTCCATATCAAAAGCCCAGATCAGTCGCGCCAGGAAAACCCGCGCTTCCGCCAGAAAGATTCTATTCCAGTGTTAGGGAGTTCCTATGGGATGGATGATACATGAAGGGTCTCCTTACTTGGAACCAATGCAATTCCTTTGCCCCATTGAGAAAGGCTGAAACGCATCGAGACGGTCATCTTGAAATGCCGGGTCATATCTCGCATCTGCCTTCTCCAAGAATCGCTCCGGGTGAAACTCAAGAGGGGCCTTGAAATTCTCCGATCGAGTATGAATGTTGTAAAGGCTGACGCCAATCACTGAACCGCCGGGCACAAAACGGCCAGCAATCATCATACCACCCTTTGGAGCGACCCTTGGCAGGTTTCCGGGCGTTGGGTGGTGCAATCTTAAGGTCTCGCTGATAACAGCATTCAGGTAAGGAAGCGGTTGTGTTGTGGCAACCTTGATGTCTGACTCGTCGTGAAAGCCCACATTGGCGACCTCTTCAGCAGCAAGTCTCAGCTGTTTGGGGTGGCGCAAAAGGAAGTACATCGCGGAGGTGATAGCGATAGTCGTGAGCTGGGAGTTTGCAATGATGACGGCTAGGCCGTTGGTGAGCACCTCGCTTTTGGTGATACCCTTGTGACCTTTCTCGCTGATCTTACCGATGATCGGGGTCATAAAGTCAGAGCGGGAGTGGCCTGCAGCCAGGCGACGGTTGATTCGTTCCGTGGTCAGCTTGGTGTTGGCAATCCGCTGCTTCGACGTGACGCGGAGGAAGACATAGTACAGAATCCTATCTAGTGGCGGAAAGCGGCTGAGACAGTTCCTGACTGTACTAAATTGCGCGTGGAGGAAAAACCTCGTGACCCAGTTCTGGTCACCCGTGGTCTGTAACGTTCCTGGGGACTCGCCCCACGTTAGGTCGGAAATGATGTCGAAGACTGCGTACCCAATAATCCTCTGGATGTCGACGATCTGGGATGGGCTGCCGTGTAGCTCGGCCTTCATTCTCTGGATAAGCTGCTGGGCGTACTCCTCAATGATGCTAGACTGCTCTCTCAGGGCCTTGTCCGAGAAGGCGTTGATGAACGCGCCTCGGATGCGTTTATGATCATCTCCGAGTGCAGTGAAGAGAGAATTAGCGCCGTTCAACGGCGGAGTAAGACTGTAAGGGTCCTTGTTCAAGTCTGGTTTTGCTGTGTAAATATCCTTCCATGCTTCCGGCGTAATGTAGGTTAGCTCATCGGGGGCAATTCGAACCACCGGTCCGTACTGGTCGTGGAACTTGTCGAACGAATGCCACACGTCTCCTTTGATGACGTGATATGCCCAGGGTATGCGCGAAATAGCCCATAGCTTGGGGCCTGGGTACTTAGAAAGAGGATGTAGGAAGGCCAGGTACGCCAACCGCAGGAAGATTGTCTACGAACTATGTTAGGAACCCGGCATAACTTACTGTGGATTGGGAGAGCTCAGACTGACGAATAGAACTAGTATTGCCAGAACAATCCAAAACATTGGATGTCGTGTGCTCCACAGCCATGGCCTATTCTGGAGGGCTTCTAACTGCGAAGTCGGACTAGCGAAGCACCTTAGCATGAATAACCACAAATGTTTCGTAGGGGCAAGTTTGCTTACCTGATCATGATCCCCTGAATTAAAAGTGACTAGGCCGGGGAAATGACAACGGGTTTCTATTCGAATTCCGGATTGATAGGCTTAATGGCAGAGGTTTGCTCAAGTAATGCGTACGAGTTTGGTGTTCGGCGTATTATCTGCTAATGCGACGAAACGTTGTGCTAGAAACCACCGGAAACTAGCCGCAGCACTGATTGGTGCAGAAATAGTCCGATACGCTCATCTTACAGTTACCATATGGCATCTTTCTTTTTGGGATGCTTTTATTCATTCAAGGAGGACTGAATGCTCAACGTGTTGTAAAGTATCGTTTCGTCAGATATTCAAGCATGGAAAGCAACTGATTTCAATTAATACTGTGCGCGGCTGTGGCCGCCCTGTTACCACTGTCATCCAACATGGCAGTGTCACTTACCATCTTCGGCCCTCAGAGCTGTGCCCCGTCAGAAACCTATCTAGACTCCGTTCGATCATTCATACTGGGTCACCCCATCCTTGGGTGCATATCGCAAAATATCCACGCTCTCAACGACGTTTGGTCCCTCCTAGCAAATGAAAACCCCGACATTGCGGCCCTCAGCAATGGACAAAGATATACGAACATCCTCACTCAATGGCTCACCGACGGGTACTCGGAGCTTGCGGCCTCCACCTCCTCAGGAATCGTGGCTCTTCCTCGTCTGGCCATCATCCAGTTCACCCAGTATTTCCAGTTCCTAGACAACCAGGGTATCACACATGCTGAGTTAGTTTCTCAGGTGCGTGATCTGGGGGGTATTCAGGGTTATTGTGGAGGACTCCCAGCCGCCGTCGCGCTCGCATGCGCCAGAAGCGAGCAAGAGCTAGCCCAGTCCATCTGCATTGCTATCCGTCTTGCTTTTGCGATTGGGCTTTACGCGGAGCTTGGCGATGATTCAGATATTCCTGGAATAACGACGGCCGTAGTCAGGTTGAAGAGAGAAGGACAAGCTGAAGAGCTAGTCCGCATGTTTCCACATGTGAGTTGACACGTGAAAAGCGCAACATCATTGACATGAGAAATTGCAGGGCTAACCATCGTTGATACAAGACCTATATATCGGCTATTAACGATCCCAAGTCGGTCAGCGTGGTTGGCCCAATCAAGCAGTTGGCAGAGTTGCAAGCCTATGCCACCCGGCAGGGCTTGCTGGTCCGCGGCATGGGCATCCGAGGCAAGACACACAATCCGGAGAACAAGAGCCTAGCTGCCGAACTCTCCGCGTTGTGTGAAGCATCTGATCTGCTTCGCCTTCCTGAGCCGAGTTTGCTGCAGGCTGCCGTGCGATCAAACCGAACCGGTGCCATTCTCAATGAAGGCCCCTGGACCAAGGAGATTGTCGAAACCATTCTCGCTTCGAAGTGCGAGTGGTACGAGCTACTCTGCAACATCGCCTCGGATCTGAAGAAGACGGGTATTGAGGAACATAGAATCGTCTCCTTCGGGATCGGAGACTGCGTGTCCCTGATGCCGTTCAACAAGCTGGGCCTTCAGATGACCAAGACAGACTGGAGCGGGCAAAACAAAGAGGCGCCCAAAACTCCAGTCGGGAGGCTGCTCAACGGTCATTCCTACTTGTTTCCCGAAAATGCCGTTGCCGTGATTGGCGCTTCGGCCCGCTTGCCTGGTGCACGCAATATGCACGAATTGTGGGAGCTCCTCTCCAAGGGTGAGGATAGACACGAAGAGTTGGGGTCCGACCGCTTCGATCTGTACGGCGGCTTTCGGGCCTCCCAGAGCGGCAGTTTCACAAAGAATCGCAAATTTTACGGCAACTTCGTCGACGGCGTGGATAGATTTGACAACGCCTTCTTCGGCATCAACGCACGTGAGATGCTCAACATGGACCCTCAACAACGCATGTTGCTGGAGCTATCTTACGAGGCCATGGAATGCAGCGGTTACACCCGATTCCACGTGAGATCGCGCGGAGATCCCGTAGGGTGCTTCATCGGCGCCAGTTTCGTGGAGTATCTAGACAACACAAATGCCCACCCCCCTACGGCTTACACATCGACCGGGACGATCCGCGCGTTCCTGTGTGGCAGGCTGAGCTACTACTTTGGGTGGTCTGGTCCGGCTGAGGTCATCGATACTGCTTGCTCCTCGTCCCTAGTTGCCATTAACCGGGCCGTCAAGTCCATACAAGCCGGCGAGTGCTCCATGGCTCTCACCGGCGGCGTCAACCTGATGACTGGGGTGAACAATTTTTTGGACCTAGCAAAAGCCGGATTCCTCAGCCCTACGGGGCAATGCAAACCCTTTGACAAGAACGCGGACGGGTACTGCCGAGCTGAGGGCGCCGGGCTCGTTGTGCTAAAGCCCCTGAAGCAGGCTGAGCTAGACGGCGACCGCATCATGGGTGTCATCGTTGGCGCTGCTACAAACCAGGGTGGCCTTTCCAACGGCCTCACTGTTCCGTCCTCGGATGCGCAGATCAAGTTGTACCAGTCAGTGCTCGAGCAAGCCAACATGAGCCCTGACCAAGTTACTTACGTCGAAGCCCACGGCACCGGTACGCAGGCGGGCGACCCCTTGGAGATTGCCAGCGTTCGATCTGTATTTGGCAGCCCCAAGAGGACCACTGAGGTGCAAATCGGCTCTATCAAGGGGAACATTGGCCATTGTGAAACTGCTGCCGGCGTTGCCGGTCTCTTGAAGACTATCTGCATGCTTGAGCACCAAGCAATACCACCTCAGGCAAGCCACAAAGTCTGGAACCCCAAGATACCAGCCCTCTCCCAGGACCGAATGGCGATCTCGACCAGCCTTAGAGAGTGGGACGCACCAATTCGCGCCGCACTAGTTAATTCCTACGGTGCCGCCGGCTCGAATGCCGCACTTATCTGCTGCGAAGGCCCCAAACCATCACAGACACTGCAACATGAGTCTCCCATGCAGGTTGGCGCAAAGTGGCCTATAATTCTGAGTGCACAGTCGGAAAGTAGCTTGAAAAGATACAAAGACTCACTGGTCGATTACCTCACAAAGGCGACGCCTCAACCCCCCATCTCTGACGTTGCCGCAACGTTGGATGAGAAACGGCGGCGTCATAAGCTCTACGTTGTATTTGAAGCAAGCAACACTCGAGAGCTTATCGAACATTTAACTGTTGATGGCTCCCAAAAGCCACCGCTCGAGAGAGGTACTCCCTGTCCTGTGGTTCTCACATTTGGTGGCCAGAGTAAGCAGACTGTCGGCCTCGACAAGTCTTTCTACGAGTACTTCATCACCTTCAGAACTACGCTCAACATGTGTGATGATATTCTTCAAGAGCTCGGATACTTGCCTATCCTACCAGCAGTTTTTGACACTACTAACATCCCAGACATTGTCGTCCTGCAGACGGGCTTTGTGGCTGTCCAGTACGCCGCCGCTACAACGTGGATAAGCGCTGGCCTGAAAGTTGACGCCGTTATCGGACACAGCCTCGGTGAGTTGACGGCATTGGCCGTAAGCGGAAAGTTGTCTATCAGGGACTGTCTCAAGCTCGTGGCAGCTCGTGCCAACTTGATGAAGACCAAATGGGGCCATGATAAGGGCTCCATGCTGGCTGTCTTTTCCAGCCGAGATGTCGTAGCAGACATCCTTGCCGGCAGCAAGCTCGAAGTGGCCTGCTACAACTCGGACAAAAGCCAAGTAGTCACCGGAGAACGCGGTGCTATTGCAGATCTTGAACGCCGTCTCTCATCAAAATCACCGCCAGTCAAATGTTTGAAGGTCGATACCAGCCACGGCTTCCACTCCCACCTTGTCGACCCTATCCTCGACGACCTCGCCCAAGTTGCGGCCTCACTTGAGTGGAAAGAGCCGGCTATTCCCATCGAGTTTTGCACTGAGAGACCAGCGGACACAAACAGCCCATATAGTCCATCCGACCACGCGCGCAACGCCGTTTTCTTGGTTGAAGCTATGCGGCGCCTGGAGCAGACCCTCGGACGCTGCGTCTTCCTCGAGGCCGGCATGAACACGGCTATAATGTCCATGGCGAAAAGGGCCGTTGCGCAGCCGGACATCCACAGTTTCATCGCTTTGTCAACTAAGGATGCGGAGGATCCCGCAAACGTCATCTCACGCACCGTTTGCTCCCTATGGTGCTCATCCGTTGAAGTTACGCACTGGCCTCTGGTGCAGCCGGACTGTAATACGAACTATGTGTGGCTCCCTCCGTACCAGTTCGATCCTACGTCCGCCTGGCTTGATAATGTGGACAGAGCTGCAGTTCTTCAATCCCAGCTGAACCAACGCGTCGAGCCTGAAGTGAATCAAGCTAGGCCAATGGTTACGCTGCTTCCTGAGCTCGAAAACTCTAGGAACAACGCGGAGCGTTTCCGTGTGTCCGTCGAGGGTCATCGTTTCAGGGGCATTGTCGCCGGCCATGCTGTTCGAAACCGTCCTCTGTGTCCCGCGTCTGTGTACCTCGAGTGTGTCACCATGGCCCTGAGTATTGTGGCTGGAGATTTGAAAGACTCATATCTCGACTTCCAAGGCCTTGACATACAAGCCCCATTGGGCATAGGAGCTGAGATTGTCGAAGTCGTTCTGGAAAAAGCGAGCACCCACAGCTGTTGGGGCTTCAAGGTCGTTAGCCGTGACCGCAAGGAGACGTTGCATGCTAGAGGCCGCGTAACCAAATCTTCAGAGTCAAAACTAGAGACCATTGCCCGCCTTTTGGGCAAGCGCATGGACTCCCTTGCAGACAATGCCGATGCCGAGCGGATGCTGTCGAGACGTGCCTACAGCCTCTTCTCCAGGGTCGTCACATACGCAACGTTTCTCGAAGGCATTTCTAGCATTACCATGAGCGGCGCCGAAGCCGTTGCTAAAATTGTCACTCCTCCTGGTCAGCCTGGCGTCGATGAGAGCACCGCCGTTCATATCTGCGACTCGGTGACCCTGGACAACTTCATTCAAATAGTCGGTTTGCTGATGAACACCAGCGATATGATTGGCAACGGCGAGGTCATGGTTTGTACTGGAGTCGACAGCTCCATGATCGCGAAGGGTGTCAACATGGTGGATTGTCGATCTTGGAAGGTCCATGCTTCATACACTCCGTCTGGTCCCAGTCAGGCCATTGGCGATGTTTTCGCCTTTTCGGAAGACGACTCCGTGGTGGCCGCCTTCACTGGATGTCGCTTCGCCAAGCTCGAAATAACGCGCCTCGAGCGATTGTTGGACCCGGTGAACCAAGTTGCTGGCAGCAAGCCCCCCGAACCCAAAGTCCAACACCACTCTGTGCCGCCCCCTCCCCCAGCCCAGCTAGACATAAATCCTGGTATGACGCCCGACATCAGCAGCAGCCCATCCAGTGATGGGAAACCGTCCTCTCCGCCGATTGAAAATACCCTTCGTCAAACTCTGGAGACGTACACCGGCGTGGCGGCTGTAAGCATCCTGGACGACACCATACTTGGGGACCTCGGGCTCGACTCCCTCGCCGCGACTGAGATGGCTGAAGAATTACAGTCTTCTAATCAAATATCCATAGACAGCCAGGAACTTGTGTATATGTCGGTCAAGCAGCTGGAGCAAAAAATCTACGGCTCTTCCGCAGGTAAGGTTGTGCCAACATTGATAGCCCAAGTGTCTACAAACGGAGTCAACGGGGCAATGACTAGCACTCATTTAAATGGAGCCGGTGATATTGACAAAGTTGGCTCAGTACTGGGACCCAAGCTGTCAGAGCTGCTAGTCGAAGTGACTGGTGTTACTATCTCCGCAATCAAGCCCCAAATGACACTGGATTCGCTCGGGGTCGACTCCCTCGCCCTGACCGAGATCGTGTCAGCCCTGTCAGAGCTCTGCTCGTCCCCACCCAATACGGATGATATATCCCCTCAATCCACTATCAACGATATTCTACAGACTCTGGGAGCGATGGGAGACCACAGCAGCACCGACAGCAGCGATGGTGGGGCCACCGGTAGCGCGGACTCCGAGGAGACGAGCTTCTCTTCACCCAGCTCAAAGATGGAAAACAACGAAGCATGCATGAGGACGGACCCGGCTACGGGGTTGCTTCGTTGTGAAGCCGAATTTGAGAGGGCGGCAGCCAGTAGGGGGTTCCAAAACTACTGGGCAGAAGTGGCTATGAAACAAGACGCCCTAACACTCGCCTACATCTTCGAGGCCTTCCAAAAGCTCGGGATCAACTTTGCCTCCATGAAGGAAGGGGACAGAGTACCACAGATCAAATACCTGCCCAAGCACCGTCATTTGTTCCAGCGTCTGCGGGGCATCTTGATGAAGCACGACATAATCAAGCAAGAAGACGGAAACATCATGACCCGTGGAAACAAGACGGCGTCGACTAAGCTCTCTTCCCAACTTCACGAAGAGTTCATTCATCAGTATCCGAAGTATGCAATTGAAGCCCGCCTGATGAATCTCACGGGGCCCAAGTTGGCAGAATGCCTTACAGGAGATGTCGACCCAATCAGGCTGCTCTTCGGCTCACCCAGCGCAAGCAAAATCCTCGAAGAATATTACGGCCGCTCACCGATGTTGTCAACTATGACAAGCCAGTTGGTGACGTTGATCACAAGCTCTTTGGGGGTTCCTGAACCGAAGACGACCTTGCGAATCCTCGAAATCGGTGCCGGGACCGGAGGCACGACAGCCGAACTCGCGGCACGTCTTACTGATATTGGCGTTAGGGTTGAGTACACGTTCACGGACGTTTCCTCCAGTATGGTCGCAAAGGCCAAGATAAAGTTCGCCCAGTACGGCTGGATGTCGTTTGAGAGGCTCGACCTCGAGCAGCCTATGCCGGCTCATCTTCAAGGGAAGTTCGACATTATCATTGGAACCAACTGCGTGCATGCCACAAAGGACAAGGTGGCTACCACCCGCCGCATCCGGACGATGCTCAACAGCGACGGTTTCGTAGTCCTGTCCGAAGTGACCCGCATTATCGACTGGTATGATCTCGTCTTTGGCCTGCTCGAAGGCTGGTGGCTGGCCGATGGGGGTTCCTCCTACCCGCTTCAGCCCCCAGAGGTGTGGATGAAAGCATTCCAAGATGTTGGATTTGCTTCTACTATGTATTCGCGGGGCAGTTCCGAGGACGCAAACACGCAGCACCTTCTCATCGGCAGCAACCGTGTCGTTAACGGGTACCCTGCGTCTGCCCCTGTAGCTCCGGCGCTCGAGAAGATGACAGTCGTGTACAAGGAGGTAGACGGGGTGCAAATTGAGGCAGATGTCTTCTGTCCAGCATCGGCGCCAACGCAGCCCATGGCCATCGCACTCATGCTGCACGGCGGCGGACACATGACGCTTTCGAAACGAGCAATCCGCCCCGCGCAGACGGCGCATCTCCTGTCTAACGGGGTCTTGCCCATTAGTCTGGACTACAGGCTATGCCCTGAGATCAATGTCATCGACGGCGCCATGGCAGACGTCCGGGATGGTTTCGTCTGGGCGAGATGTATGCTGCCGTCCATTGTAGCGAGCAGGGGCATCATGCTAGATACCGAGCGGATTGTGGTCATAGGCTGGTCAACTGGGGGTCACTTAGCCATGTCTACCGCGTGGACGGTGGGAGAAGCCGGGGGCACACCGCCGAAAGCCGTCCTGTCGTTCTATGCGCCGACCGACTTTCTCTCCAAGGATGTGTTCCCGCGTCGCAGCACCGCACGTATCCCGCACCGCATGTCGCGAGACCAGATCTTGCAGATCGACGTCTCAGGAACGCCCATCACGAACTACGACATGCAAGGCGTGGAGGATCCAGAGCTGGGCTGGGTTAAGTGGGGAGACGCGCGCTCCGAGCTGCTGCTCTCGCTCTTCAGAGAGTCCAGGGAGTACGGGCTGTCTCTCATGCTCAACGGCGAGCCCGGCACGCGTAAAACCGTCCAGGAGCTCTTGTCGGAGCCGCCTACCTGGGAGAAGCAGGCATCAATGTGTCCGACTGCACAGCTGCGGGCCGGAGAGTACAAGGTGCCTACATTCATCATTCATGGTGAGGCCGACGACATTGCTCTGTTCGAGTCGGCATCGGAGTTACACCAAGAGATGAAGCGGCAAGGCATAAAATCCGGGTTCGTGGCTGTAAAGAATGGATCGCACATCCACGATCTACGCCTGAAGCCTGGCATGGCAAAATGGGAGGAGCAAGTAGCTCCAGGCTATCAGTTCTTATTCGACAGCTTGAAAGACTGATTCCCTGTGGTAGGCCAATTGAGGGGGAGCAGGAATTGTAGACATTCTAGATTGAATATGTTTGGTGGAAAGTTTCTCGTAAATGAGCAGGAGGCCTTGATTTATCTTCCGTTTCAAATAGACATACTCATTGCAACACATTTAGCTTAGCTCCTATCGTGTCTAATGTTGTGTGCGTATACAGAAGCTTTGCTTATAACTGAAAACCAAGGGGAACGTAATACCAAATCGATTGCAGGTTTGATTAGAATTGTTAGTAGGCTCTCTGTACCTAGGTAATAAGGATTAATCATCTCTAAATAATTTCTTTATACCCTTACGACGAGCTGTGGGGCATCGAGGCAAACTCGTATCCATAGGTTCACGAGGGATATCGGGGATTCCTCTAGACAGGTCTGGAAATACATGCGGCCTAGATGAGTCGGAATCTTGTTTCTGTGGACTCGAGGTAAATTTTCACAAGGGAATCACAGACAGATATTCCAGGTTATGAGTAACACTCAATTAACTTCATTAATTGGCCTCTGCACTGCAAGCCGTTATTAGAATGGAAGGAAGGCAGCGCCAGGCTTCTCTCTGGTTCGATCGGGTAGATATCTCAGCGTTTCTAAGAGTTTGGAAAAACTTCCTCGCAAAGCGAGAAGGTCATGAAACAGAAGGGAGGCGGCGAGAAGTGAATAGGGCATGTCGCCAGGCTTGCATCCACCGCGAAGACCGAATTTATCTAGTTCTTGAGGGGATAGCCGAATTGCAACCTAGACACTCAGCCCTCAGTACATATCGGTCGATGGCTGGGGAGACAGTAGAAATGTAGAGCTCGCCCCTAAGAGGCAGAGTCGCCCGTCTCTTTCTTCTCAGCGACGTCGGCGGCCTCTCTGTTCTCGCTTTCAACCGTCTCCCTGTTCTCGCTGTCGACGGCCTCCTTGTTCCCGTCACTGTCCTTTTCCTTGACGCTCTTCCACTGGACTGCCAAGGCACCAATGATGGTTAGACTAGCCATCACGGTAGCAACTAAGAAAGCGCGCGTAATGGCATTGTTGTAGGCCAGCTGGACTAGTGGGAGCTGCTGTGGGGGGACCGATTGTTGGAGGCTCGTCGCGCCGGACTGCAGGATGATGGTGGGGTCTAAATCGGGGACGTACTTGGCCAGGTCGGTGGCAAGCTTGTTGGCGAAAACGTTCTGGCCAATGGAAACGAAGATGGCGCCTCCAATAGATTGGAGAAAGTACATTAGGGACGTGCCGATCGAGACTTGGGACAGGGGGAGGACGCTCTGCACAACGATGAGAGGTTGTTGGACTCCGAGACCAACACCGATGCCAGCCTGGGAAGGGTTTTGTTAGTTCTTGGTAGCTACACATATTCCGAAATAGAATGGTCCTCACCATGGCCTGGTATCCGATCCATTGGTTTGAGCCGTTGTCAGGGGTGAATGTTGTCATCAAGCCAAGGGCGACGGATGACACGATGGAGCTCGCGATCATGAATGGAGCGTCTGCAGCTCGTCAGCTTGGGACTATCGAAGTTGTTGAGTCAACAGCTCGCGCTTCTTACAGTATCCAATGACAGTAACACCAATTCCCGAAATGATGGAGACGATGACTAGTCCCAAAATCAACGGCAGATTTCGAATGCCAGATTCGACGGCGGTCGTGCCCTTGACCGCCTGGAACCAGACCGGAAGATAGTATATCAGGACAAGGAAGTAGGATCCCAGAGAGAAGATGTACCAGGAGGCAGCGGCGATGGATCGGTTCTTCAGGAGACGTGGAGGGACGGTGGCGGTATCGCCCTTCCAGAACTGAGTCCTCAGCCAGACACAGAAGAGAACACCGAACAGGACGAGGAGCAAGATGATTCTCCAGTTGGACCAGGGGTGTGCAGTGCCGCCCCATTGCAGGGCGAGGAGCAGGCAAATCACGGCAGGCATAAAGACTGAATTTTTGACAAGGTCAGTTGTGTTCCGATAGCTAGTTGCCCATACACCATAGAGCTTCCCCAGAACCTGTACTCACCCGCGGTACCCGGCAGATCAAACTCGGAGATGCGGTCTCTGAAGCTGAGTTTGGAGGTTTCTGTCCTGTGAGGGGGCTTGAAGAAGAGAATGATGACCGCGACGGCGACCGCTCCCAGGGGTAGGTTGATGTAAAAGCACCACTGTAGACGACACTGAGTCAGATCGCGTCGAAACCATCGACATCTTCCTCTCCCAGAATACATACCCGCCATGTCACCTTATCCGTGAATGCGCCGCCAAGTAGCGGGCCAGCAACCGATGCGATACCATACATGGCACCGATAAGGCCAGTATACATGGCGCGCTTGGGGGCTGGTATCGAGTATGTGATGACTATATAGTTCATGAGCATTTCAGTCTTTGCCTAACGCGGTACGTGAGACAAGGAGTAAGTCCAGAGATTACTCACTAATAACAGCACCACTGGAGATACCTGCTGCGCCCAGTCCCGCGATCGCTCGGCCACAGATCAGGGCCGTCGAGTTCGGCGCCACTGCACAGACGAGAGAACCTAGCTCGAAGATTCCGATGGCGGCTAGGAAGACCCATTTGATGGAGACCACAGTATAGAACTTGCCAAATAGTAGTTGCACCGAAGCCTGTGTGAGAAGATACGCTGTTGCGCCAAACGTCGTTAGCGTTGGACGCGGGATATGTTCTACGTTGCTACTCACCGCTTCCATACCAGCCAATGTCCGCTTGGCTGGAGAACCCATTGGTAACTGGTCATTGTCAGCAAGGAAGAATACGTGTAAAGGGGAAGCTGGTAAATAAAATAAATGATGAAAGAGCAGAAGTGGGAAGAGGAAAAAGAAGGACGTAATAACAGTCGTTAGGTCTAGCTCACTTTTTGGAATAGCCTAGGACGCGATAGCGTCAGTTGAACCTACGTGCAGGGAGTGCAAGAAGAACTCACAGTCGCGATAATAGTGTTATCCTTGGCCCAAGGTCAGCGAAGTCGATGCACATGACTAGCCTCGCCTTATGGGAGGAGAAATAAGGACGGCATACTAGAGCAGCCAAAAAGACAGAAAGGCACAAACTCAGGTTGATCAGGAACAGTTTGGCGCCCGTGGGGTACTCGACAGGAACCTCGACAGGGATTGCATCAGTGGCAGGCGGCGTGGCGTTTGCAGCTTCAGGCTCGGGGGATATCGACACTGCACCAGCCGAAGTTTCAGTCTTCTTGACTTGGCTGCCGTTGTCGACAGAGCCTTGTGTAGTCACTTCGGTATCAGCCATGAGGAGAGGATTTAGCAGAGCAAAGAGAGAAAGGCAAGAGAAAAATGAGAAGACAGGAAGGATAGAGGAGGAAAGAAAGCTCCCTCCTGTTCCCCTGAGGTGATTTCCCAAGACAAATGAATCACGGCAAGTCGGCGCTCTCCGCCTTCGAACAAGCGACTCCAATCGGTGGGTTTTCCTCAACAGGCGGTTTCGTCGGCGTCGGGGTACCACCAGCTGGAATGTACGGAGTAACGGTCGGATGATTTTCTAGTCTTAATTATTCTCATAGCAGGCAGGGCAGGGTTCTTATTTGTCTTTTTCGTTTGCTAGCTAATATTCTCCATTCCGTTCACGGAACAATGCATCCAACAGGCCACTCTCCAACACCACGTGTCTGAACTCCACAACCACAAAGGGCGGTCAGGGAGGGAGAGCGGCGTGACACCCCCCCCCCACCCCACCCCTCTGACAGGTATCATGCATATTCGCACCAAATACTGTGAATTGCAGCCCGTATAGTAACGAGCTTGGCTAGCCAAACCACTAGCCAAACTGCAGGCAGAACCACCCTGCTCACTTTGTGGCGGGCACTTAGACCCGTCCGGGCCGTCCCGGGAGCTCAAGGTTAGCGCTGCGCCGAGTCCACTATGACTCATGTAATGCAAAAAGACCCAAACAAGGGTAAGCAAACGGACCAAACGGTGCGTTGGCTCCCCGTCAGGCACCATTACCTATCTGTACGAAACTTAAGGGCGCCGGGACAGGTGTGTGTCTCCCACGCAGGAGGTGGATCAACCCACAGCATTGACCACCAACCATGCAGCGGCTGACGTGAAGGGCAAACAACAACAAGTCTCCCTCCCCTCCCCCTCACCCCCCAACCCCCCAACCCCCCCCATATGACTCAAAGTCTTTCATGTTGGACGAGTGTGATGCTGGGTGATATTTCCCTTGCCGAGAGACCTGTCCACCTTCTACCCGTTTGAAGGCATATTTTAGCGCGATATCTGGTTGGTTCCGATTGGCTTCCCCAATTTGTTGACAATGACTCTTACTTGTTTGCCTTCACTCGCTTTATTCTCTGGAAATATATATACTCTCCAAGATCTTGGTCACGCTCTTTGCTTTGGGACTCAAGACGTGAAGCGGTGAAATACGCCCGTTTTGCTGCTACCGCCGGGGCTGTCGCTTTTCTACTAGTTGCTCTCTACTTCTTCAAACACCCGTCTGTAGTGTTCGATAAAACTATACCTATTCCAACGTCGAAAGCATTCCAGCAGTTATGTTGATTCGCTCCAGAATGCCCGTGACGTGTATCTTGAGCGGCGAACCCACCGGCCCTGAGGTGGCCTCGGCCTGTGTCCAGCTAAGGAGCTCCTTAAGAAGACAGCCCAACTGTCGCAGCTTCAAGCTGACCAGGCGACGTAGGAACGCTATCTTGACGGAGCCGTGAATCGCCTTGTGTCCGAAACTGAGAACAGTCGACCCGAAAAGTGAGGAGTTCTGCATCTGTGTTTGTGTCTGCGTTGTCGTTGGTACTTGCGGTACCTTTGTTGGCCCAGACTGCTGCCCCAACAGGCCATGTTGCCCCTGTCGCCCGTTTCCACGTCTCTCACCGCCGTGAGCGCTTGTTGTGGACTTGTTTCCGCGGTTTCCACCTGTTCTCGAACGCCTGGTCATATCGTCAATAATGGTCCTGTATATCGTCACCACTTCCTTCGCGGTGCCGGCCACGATGAACTGAATCAGCTCATCGTCTAAACAACTATGGCAGTCCTTCAGGATGCCCCATGTCCAATCCAGAACCCTCTGCAGGTGCAGACAGGCATCGAGAGCCGAGTTTGGCTGGACGCTCTTCGCGCTCTTCCTATGGAACAAGAGGTTCGCAGCCGCCGTGTGGCAGAAGCAATCATGGCCAGTAGCAGTTCCCTGTTCGGAGGCGTCCATGAAGGGTCCTAACACAGGGGATGCGGCGACCCAATGCTGAAGAGAAATGCAGTCGTCTGCGAACCTGGCGGGCTCTGTCGGCCAGAACGCCGGGTCTAGGCAAGGAGACTGATCGATGTTCTGGGACTGGGAAGAAGAAGCTGGCACCGCCATCGAGGGGTCCCCATAGTCATGTCTCGCGCTCGTCGCGCTGTCGAGGAGTTTAGCCAATGGGTCGACAAAGAGGTCCGCATCGTCGAGCATGTGCGCGTTCATAAAGTCGAAGACATCGGTGCAAGGGTCCGGCCCGACGCTGTCCATGACGGCGGCCACGGAGGCGTCGATGCATTCTGCAGTGTTCAGATCTTGCGAGCTGGATGACGTCGTGATGAGATCCAATGCTCCCGGTCCCGGTCCTGGTCTCAAGTCATGCTGAGCATCTACCAAACCGGAAACCGCAGTGTCAAGTACCTCCCGTCGGCTTTGATGCCGTGTATCGGAACTGGCACCGGCATCTTCTTGGCCAACGGCACCCTGAGTGACATTGGCGGCAGTAGGAGCGGCGGGTGGCACCTTCCGCGGCCGGCCGGGACGTTTTGTCGGGGCATAACTACAGTTCATCCCGTTCTTCGCACAGCGGGCGCACACGGGCTTCTCCCGGCTACATCTCAGCTTCGATACATGGCAGGGCTCGCACGAATTTCTGAGCGTGTGAGTTCTTGCCGTGTTGTCGCTAGCAGAGACGGCTTTTAAATTCCCGCCCTCGTGCATGTTCCAGACGGTGAAAAGGAGGGATAAGAGCTGAAAACAAATATAGAAGAAGAGTATAATAAAATAGAATGAAATTAGGCAATTCCGTGCTCCGGCTCAGTCCAGTATTGTGGTCTCAGAAAGAGGATAAAATCCGGTCAGATTTGCCATGCAAAGAAAACTTGTGCCGAAACGTTTGGGAGGCCTAAAAACTCTCGTCTTCCGGTGTAGAAGATACGGGACCTTTATGTACAGTACATATTGAAGGATGCGGTGTCGTGACATTACCTGGCAATCTCTTAACCGCCCCCACCAAGACGCCACCAACCCGTGGACCGACTCATCTGAGGTGAGCGAAAACTTCAGGGGGAAAGAAGGGAGTTTGTTTAGAACTTCTAAACAGAGAGGAGCAACTGTTTCTATCCCAGAGGAGCAACTGTTTCTATCCCAGAGCGGCAAATAGTACGTTATAATGTACCAATTAGAGCACGGCTGAGTTCAATCAGCCACATTAAGCCACAATTAAATGATGGTGAAGACGAAAATGCACATCAGCCCACCACGCCAAAACTTCGGCTACTGCACCAAGCCCCGCCCCACCCACCCAAAAGCTTAGCCCTCTCTCCAATGCTACAAACCTAACTAGAGTACCTTCTTGTTACCACACAAAAGCTTAGACTCTCGCTATGCGTAGTGGAGATGTCTAGTCAATCGCCAGGTGGTGTGGGAAGGAGCGAAAAGAGAGAATACTATGCTTTGGTGCACACTGTGTCTGTGCACAGCTGAGTTTGCGATGGGCAATAGAGAGCTTTTGACACGAGCAGGGATTGAGCTCGACCAGATGCGTCCTTGCGGGACCAGAATGGACAAAGGGAAGTCAGCTGGAACCAGTCGGGTTTAGGCTTAGCGGGATGCGCCTAAACTTAAATAGACAAAGAAGCGACAGGAAGATGCAGCAGAAGGTAGAACAACGAAGTAACGTCATTCCTGTGTCGAGGAAAACCCGCCGTGGCGGAACGCTGGTAGTAATTTCTTCCACAACAACGCCCACAACAGTTTCAAGCTGTAGATAATCTCGTGTAAAGCTATGTGAGGCACCAGAGGCATGAGGAACTGGATTGTATTGCTAAAGGAGGGCAACTACGGGTTTATATAGTACTAGATGAACCCATCATGTGACTTAAGGCCACCAATAGCTCTGGGCTGCAGCAGGTGGCATGGCTAGGCAGCAGTACGCCAAAGGAGTGTTGGTGGCTAGCGCATGGAGAGCTCCGTAACTGCAAACATCTTGGGATAGACATCTTGATCTCTGGTCTGTAATACCACAATTTACTGCTGATCTGCACGACATGGCTTCTTCGGACTACCTCGGGCCTACCTCGGACCTGCCTAATATATTGTGCATTTATGCAAGAAGTCAGCAAGTTATAGATCCATATAGAAAGAGTCTATCCCGAGTGAATTACTGTGCTCTGCATTTTTTTGCGCTATAGTAGGCCTCTGCTGCTTCGTCGAGTAGGATTGGCTATTCCAGGGCCCTTCACCCTTGCTGTGCAGAAAATCCAGAAGCAGGTTAGCTGGATTCTTACTGCACCTAACGACCGCCACAGGTGACTCGCATGAAGAGCTACGCACGGACTATGTGATGCCAGACATGTGGCTGAGCGTGGCGTCTCAGCGCCGATAGCGGTGTTCAAGCGAGCACATGACCCTACGGGTCTTTAGATTCACTGCCGCAACACCCTTTTTGCTTATTCATTATTCCATTTGACAAACGTAACTGCGTACTCTAGCCTGTAGTTGTCGCCACGACGCAAGGGCTGCCTTGTGATTGCGAACATGTCATCTCAGCTTTGCTTGCGCCAGCCTTGCCCCTCCTTTTTGCGCTGCGCCTCGCGGCAGGGGTGAATGACTCGCTGCCTCTGCTCCGCACTACCACTACCACCACCGCCGTCATAGTAGCCTTGCAGTTCACCCAGCTCGAACTCTAGACTTATGTTGCGCCGGTAATGCACATGAGACTTTTTCACGAAGCGATGCGACTCCTCTGCCTCAAGGACGACGGCGGTCTTGTACAGACAGATCACTTGATTGGCGAGAGTAATATCCCCCCTTACGCAACAATATCGCACACGTGGGAAGGCCGGGAAGACACTTTCGATGATCTCCAAGAGCGGCAAGACGAAGGGGAAGGCGGGATATACGAAAATTGAATTCTGAGCATAGTAAGCCAGGTAAGCTGGCTGGCATTACTTCCAGGTAGACACCTACTGTATTACCAAGATCCCTTACGATATAGAGCGCCGCAGAACTAGACAATTGTTGTCGCACGTTTTAATAGATGATCTTCTGGAGGACATGCAGACAGGTTCTATACGCTGTGGACTAGAACACGGCCATGCAGCAGTAATCCGCAAACGTCGACTGGTCTTTCACGGTGCACGGTACCGCGCGGCCCCTAAACTAGTCACTGCCAGACTTGGACATGAATCTATTATGCAAGATGAGTCACATGACTTAGGTCAAAAGTCGTCCTGTATATGCTAACATTTCTCTGAATATCGAAGGTGCACATGGACTGTCTCAAAGCCTGAGAGTTCCTGAACAACCTTTCCCACGGGCCATTGAAGATAGCAAGTTGTGCTTATCTCGCGAGATACCTCGCATCATTTTAAAAGTTGCTTTTCATCACGGTTGAGACCTCTGGAAACCTTCCCGGCTCCTGCCCTTGCAACAACGGCCCTCCTACCTTGCCTGCGAACGCCCCATTCATCCATGCGGTCGTATACGCCGCCAGGATCCGCACTATCTCGGCCGGCGCAATCGTGCCCAGCAGACCCGCGAAAGCCGCCGTGTTCTCCCCAGCCGCCTGAAACAGCGTGAGCGCATCCGAGAAGCTCTCGTGCGTCGTGTTCGCAATCGTGACCCACAGCTTCGGACCCTTTAGCTGCGGCCACGCCGCCAGCCAGCTGGGGTCAGTAGCGTTCGCCTCGGACATGTATAGCACTGGCTGGGACAGTCCCGACGGGGGAAGCGAGCCGAAGAGGGTGCCGTCCCAATCGATCGCGCCGCGAAGGCGGGGGTCCTGGCCGGCGGCGATGACCGCGGAGGAGCCTCCCAGAGAATGTCCCAGCATGGCGATGCGGTCCGTCGGGAACTGTCGGGGCCCGCGTTGGGGAAGCAGCTCGGCTATGGCAGTCGCGTTGCTCAGCTGGTCAATAATAAAGGATGCGTCGGCGGCACGAGGGTACACGTACCGGGTGAACTCGTCCAGGGTAGGGCTGCTCGGGCCGTTGTTGTAGACTACGTGGCCATCAGGGTACGTAATGATGTTGGCGTCTTCGGGGTGGTCGATGGTAATGACTATGAAGCCCTCGCTGGCGATGGCGGAGGCGAGGACACTATAATAGAGGCGAGGGATGCTGTAGCCAGGGGAGAAGAGCAGGATAGGGCCGTCATCTAGGGGTGAGCAGCCGCTGAGAGTGTCCAAACACACCGGTAGGCGAGCCTCTAGGAAGAGGGGCGTGAGGTTGATGGAGATGTTGAATAGCTTTTGGAAAAATGGCCCCTGGTAATCGGCGGTTTTGTTAGGCATGTATGAGACAGGCACAGTGGACGCGCACTTCGCAGGTTGAAAGACCGACAGCATCAATGCCCGAGGCGTTGGAGTCGCGGCAAAAGAGTCATTGCGGGTGTAGTCGATGAGGGTCCCAGTAGTCAATGTGACATTGTATTTACCAGGCGGGTTTGGGACCAGGTACCCTGTAGTCGTGTTGGCGAGCAAGAGGAGAAAAATTGAAAGCATAGACCGCATATCTGCGAGTGCCGTTGTGCTGCAACTGCAGTGTCGTCGAGACCCGGGCGTGAGAGGCAGGAGACGACTGGAAAAGAGGGGCCAAACAACTAACGAGCTTTGTTTCTCATTCACACAGAAAGAAGGTCCTAATGTGATGACACGGGGTTCGGAACAAGGAAGGAGACTCAAGGTACGGTTGGGCGATGATAAGGATCAGTCCGAATGGCATCGTACTAGTAGAACATTCACTGAGGAGTAAGGTAGCTATCAAGTGGCAGTCAGGGACTATATACTGTGTTACCAGTCACTATGTGATGTCCGCTTATACATAAATGCATGTAACGGATCACACGTGGTTGAGGGAGGCTGAGCCTCAGCGCGATTCGTCGTTCCGCGCTACCCTTGTAAACGGCGCCTCGTTCCGGGTACGTCCAGGGAATCCCATTGCTAGCGCTGTCTGTGCACGCAGAATTAGCAATTGAGAGCTTTTGTGCAGCTCAGCCTCTCTGACGTCGCAATACTACACTGCTACGGTCAGTGAGCGCGTCGCAAACGCGCCAAGCTCATACCAAACCACAGCCACAAAGCTCAACTATACAGCAGCAGGTTACGTAGACAGCATATCCGCCTTCTCCGCTAAAGATTCTGACAGCGATTTTTCTTTGACCTAGTTTCCTCCTCGCTTCTTGGTCTGTATATCAGCTGCAAAACTTCTTGGTTACAATGTCAGAGCCAAGACCCGGGGGTTCTAAGCGACCAAGAGGCACATATTCCCGCTTGATCTGCCTTGGTTGTCGTGAGAGGCGCATTCGGTGCGAGTTACCAAGCGAAGTTGAGATCCCAGATCAGGGAGAGCTCCGGACGGTTCAGACGCCTTGCTACCGATGCAAGAGATTGGGGGTTCCATGTATAGTCCGACAGACAATCTTAGGTCGACCCGGCCCCGAAAGTAATTCGACTACTGCTGCAGATTTTCGGCCCGTGAGGACCGGCGACTTCGTTTCGCGCATCATCATTGAGCTTCCTTCACGGGGGGTGGCACGCACTCGGCCAGCAACTGTACAGGGCGAGGCACAAGTAGTCAGCAACTGTGTCATCCTGCGGACCAGGTTGCGCTCTTCCAACGATCTGCCGCCGAGCCCGAGAGATCCTGCGTGCTGGAATGGGCATGCACTGCTGATTCACACACCCCAGTCTACTGAGACAGTCATCATCATCCGTGCGGTCGATACGCTTCGATGCGAGAAGGTAGAAGAGGAATGGTTCCGACATCTGCCAGCCCACGTCGGGCACACACGGGCCCTGGATCTGTCTATTAAAGCCATTGTCGCAGCTTGCTCCTACGCCCGAGGCGTACCAAAACTTACTTCTGGCGATTGCTACCAAGCCCTAGTGCTCGCCCTCAATGCTGTGCAAGCGAACATCAAGCAGTCACATGGAGAGCTAAACGATGACATTCTTGCGTCAACGGCGCTGCTGGCTCATTTCGAGGGCGTTATAAAGAAGCATGGCATTCCAACGCGTCCACATGTCGAAGGGTTGGCGGCAATCTTAGCAGCAAGACCTGCAACATATCCAGTCACGCAGCTTGCGAGAGAGATCTTTGACTTCCACGCTTGCGATTCTGCCATCATGGCGGGTATCCAGGGTGCCCCCTCGCCCTTCGAGAGCATTCCTCGAGCGTACTTTGCCAACAATAGGATAGGATGTAGCGACAACGATCGGGCCCAGCTCAAGGCAATTGGGAGCGAGCTATTCATTCGCATTCCGCGGCTCGTGGGGCTCGTTCGCTCTTTGCGACTCCAGCCGTCTCCGCAGAATCAGCTGCTGTTAGATACGCTTTGGCTTTCGAAGTCACTTCTCCAGCTAGAGGATTCTCAAGCTGAGGAGAGACTATTGCGGAACATCAAACTTCAAACTTCAAGTAATCCTGATGCCACCTGGCCTCTCCGTCGGAGTCTGCAATTTGCCTCTGTCGATGATTTCGAAGCACTTACATATTACTGGCAAAACCGCCTGTCTTTGCTCAGACTAGAACATCGACTCTATGACTTATCCGTGTCAATTGACGTACAAGCCGACGATACAGGCGAACCAGGAGTTTCCTTCGGGCCAAGTTTTGGGCCAAGGGCCAATGAGATGTTCCGGCTTGTGAAGAACATTCTGATGTGTGCAGAATATGCCGGAACGCTACCACTTCGCAAGCATGGCCGCCTGTTTGCTCACGCGATGGTGGCCGTGTGGGGTGTAGCGATGGACATGCCGGTGGCCCTCAGCCATATTCAGGATGGAGAAGGGACAGGTCCTTTCCCTCATCTGTTGTTGCGAAGAGTAAACACTACGCTAGCAGCAAAGCCAGATCTCACCGCTGAAGACATGGACGCGGCGGCAGATATCTTTGTAGGCGGACAGCTAAAGGGTAGATTTGTAGAGCTCTACGGCTTGTAATTAACGTCGACGTAGTCGGAGGCTTGTACAATTCTATATCTGTAGCTTATTAATAACTATATATCTTTATCCGTATAGTTATACTATAAGTGTTTCTAAACGTATTCCAATACTTAGCTTACAGTAAGGCTGCACAGTCTCAATTAGATGTTTTGTTATTACAAGTAAGATTTTCCTTAAACCGATAAAAGGTACTGATGGCAAACTCTATAGTTTTAAGCACAAGTGTAAGGACTATCTACTCTATTTACTGCACCTCTATGCTGTAGCTACCCAAATCCCAAGCTGTTAACGCGTTGTGATTGTTGTTGAGCGCTTTAGTAACGATGGCGCGCTTCAGCTGCAGCAGAGCGAGAAGAGGCAGTGAATATTCGATCTAGTAATTGTATGCACGACGCTAGCAGCCCTGAGCGCATCATCAATACTAACTAATGAGGTGCTTGCTCCTTGTTCGAGCCGCTATCGGCGCTGAGACTGCACAGCCGCTCTGCACATCGCAAGCCGCCGTTTATCACGTGAGCCCTGACAGTCGTTTAGAATCGGCTAGGCCGCTTCTACATAGCAAGGGTAGCATTCTTACTTAGCAGTCCCACTCAATAAAGCAACAGATTACTACAGCACAACCAGCTTATTAAACACAATATTCTCCTCGGGATATCTTCTCTCTATAGCATTTTTTAACTTCAGAAGCTTTTAGACAGATGCACGAAACTTCAAAAAGGTCCGAGACAGTCCGAGGTGGCAGCGTCGTGCACGCTAACAGCTGATTGTGGTATTGCAAAGTCATCAAAAATTTACGACGAAGACACTGAGTATTTAAGATGCGGAGGGTCTCAGGCGGCTATTCCGAGATTATCTGAGCTATGTTATTCTTGTTGTTGCTGTTATGATAGAAAGTACTACCGGCGTTCCGCCAAAGTGGGTTTTCCGTTACGGAGGGGTTGACTTTGGCACATATATAACAGCAGTAAAATGTTCTCATACTGCTATCCAGTGGTGCGCAATACCCATAGTATGCTCGCCCTGGAGGAATAAATTAAGGCGAGGGTGGTCGAGTAAGGCACTAAAGAGATGCAGGTATTAGGGCAACACACTAGGACTAGAAGAACACGCTGCGTATTTAGAAAGGAGCAACGTGTTTAAAGTTATTGCAATTACCTACATCTATAGAGCAGCAGCCTCCCTGCTGTTTGCAGAGGACTGTAGTTATTATTATAGCATAGGCTAGAGAGAGTCGACTATCTAACATTCTTAATTCAAGCGCTTTTAGTAGTCCCTTATCTATTACCTACTAATCACTAAAACATTATATTTACATCCCTCCTCCTCTGTCGCTTGCCTCTGTTCTTTCCGCACAACCTTAGACTATCACCTAGAGTGGTTCTGCTATCTAGCGTAAGGTCGGATGTTCTAGAACAGGCTTGTATGGCCTCACCTGACATGTTTGGAGGTCACATGATCTATTCTTTGTATATAAGCACGAATCCTACCAAGCGAGGCTTGTTAGTAATTCGTCTCTCCTACAATACACTTCTATCCTATCTTTCCACGTGTATTAAAGTGTTTCAGCTAATTAAACAACATATTTTTATTCATCTAGCTATTTAAACTAACTTGAAGAATCTAATTACATAGTATACCTAGCTTTAAACTAGATGAAGATAAACCTCTTATGTTTTTTTTAGACTTGTTTCTAACGGGTTTATCAAGCGAGTAAGACAGGTGTAAGGCCGAGATGGTGCTTACGTGCGACGGGTATATATACTATTCTGTACGCAATAATCAACTGTTGGTTGATTATTCGCACCTTTTTAGTTGTATTAGCGTAGTGGTACAGAGCTCTGTCCTTACAACTAGCCTATTATAAACTAGCTCTTTCTTAGTTTCTTAGAAGATTGTAAACTTTTTTACTTCTTTATTCTTATTTATTATACAGTTTGCCTATTAGCTTAATGTGTTAGCTTAGTAATTATTAGCTCTAGCTACATGTTTAATTATAATGTTGTATTAGCTAAGTTCTGTAGCCTAACGTGTTTTATCAGTAAGCTGCGGACATTAGTAAGCTGCGCACCCCACCAAAACGCGCGCGCCTTTTTAACAGATAGCTAAACAGCAACTAAATTAAACCTATATAAGTATATATATAAAATATTCTTAATTGCTTCTACATTAATTTTTTTTATAGCCTTATACATAGCACCTTAAGCAGGTTAGTAGTGCTTGTTAATATGCCTGCGATGCCTAAGCCTGCGCATCTACCTTAACTAACCTATTAGCCTCTGCAGCCAGCCTCTGACCTTCCTAGCCTGTAAGAGTCCCTTCTGTAGCAATATACTGCTGTTACTGTTGCTTCTTCTGCTCTTAGTAATAGTTAGCCTAACACAGCTTAGTGTTCTTCTTTATAAGAATTATTACTAAGTGCATTACTATTTAACATCTTTTAATAAGCTAAGCTATTGCTTAGCTAGTAGAGCTCTGTAATTAACAACTAAGGCAGTTATAGATTAGTTAAGCCTACTACTGTAGCTAAGTAACTGTATAAAGCGTCTCTGCAGTCTAGCGCGTCTTACTGTTAGCTTCTTGCGCTAGTAGAGATAGTGTATAAATAATAGTAAGCAACAATAAGACATAATTAGAATAGTGTAGGACTAAACCTGCTACTTAAAAGCTGCTTTTAATTATCTACTCTATAAATACTATAGGCCTAATATGCTTATAAATTCTAAGAAAGTCTTACTTATTAAAATAAAAAATTTAATTATAAGTAAGCTCTAATACTTAGTGTCTATATACTTACTTAAAAGGCGTAAAACAGCTAACATTTAGAGGCTATAAAAGATAGGAGTGTTACGGTCTACAGTTGGACCAACGTAACTCCACCGGCAGTGCTCCACAATCTAGCTAGCGCGGGGCAGAGCTCGCCTATGAACTAATTAGAGGACACAGAAGCAGCGCAGCTGCCCGCAGTTATAGAAGAATGCATTATCTAATAAAGGGAAAGGCTACAAGTCTAACAAGTCTAAGAGAGTTTATAGAGCTGCGCTTAGTAAGCTCACACAAACTTATCTAACTCGCCTTAGCACTCTTTAGACATGTATATAGTTCTAACCTTAAACAACTTTTAAAAGGTGTGTTTAATGTTTAGTTTATTTTTATATAAACTAAGTAGCATTCTAGCTTTCTAAAGAGCTATAATACTATCTGTATATCTTACACTATATATACCTCTAATTCTGTCTAACAGGACTGTTTAACCTAGCTACTATACTGCTGCTATAGGGACAAACTATAATCTAGTTACTCTACCCTTCTCTATAAGCCTAATAGCTATTACGTAGGACTGTACACCCTACTGTTAGCCCCTCTTACCTTGTCCTCTTTTACTAGAAATAACATTAACCTGCGTGCTTCTACTAAGCAAGAATTATAACATTAAACACTACTCTTTTTAAAAAGTATAACTACTTAACATAACTTAGATTCTAACATAGCCTATATAGCCTTATTAGAATCTATAGAAGTTCTAACACAAAGTAAAGCTATCTTAGCAGAATAAATTAATTTAATTTAGGACAACATTAAAAGACTCTCGCAGATTAGTAATAAAATTAATAAATTAGTAAACTTTTAAAAGAAAGTTAAAAACTTTTACTAAAAAGTAATAGAATTTAATAACTTTTTACTACTAAACCTTTAGTAAGCTACTAGCTCTGCACACTAAATACACATACTATAAGTAGAGCTAGCTAAACTTTAGAACATTTTAACTAAGAGAATAAGTATTACCGCTAAAAAGACTTTAAAACTAGCCCCTTTAAAGCTTTTTAAAGGATTACTAAAAGACCTTTACCTCTTCTTTACTAAATACTACTTTTATATATAATATAACAAAGAAGCATTTTAAACTAATGCAAAAATAATATCTTAAATAGGACTACACTTAAAAGGCCCTTTTATAATCTAGTTTTAGCTATACATAGATAATTAGATAGACTTTAAAGCTAATAGCACTACACTAACTCTAAAAATAGAAGAAGTTTTTAGTAGTGTAAAAGCTTTTAAAGAAGCCCTAACAGCTATTTATAAAACTATAGATAAATAAAAAATTATAACGTACTTCACAGGCGAGTTGCTCACACACCTAAGTTGCTTACTTTTGCTAAGACCCCACCCTAACAAACTCTATTATAGCCTATAACAACCCACTCTAGCACTATATAGTACAGTACAGCCTAGAATATTATTTAGATACTACTTCTACTTCTTACTTATATATTTATGTGTTATGCCTAGTCTAATTGCACTATTTATAGCGCCTTTAGAATAGCTTACCTACTTTAGCTTACACCTGCTTTTTTGCCTTTTTTCTATTACTGTGCGCTCTAAACTCCTTTAGAGCTGTTAAGCATAGGCTTTTCTAAATTATTAAAGTCTTTTCTACCTTAATCTGCTTTTTTTTATATAATTTATGTTATATAGCAGCTTTATTAGCTGCTTAAAGCTTAGTAATTTTTTATTATGCTAATACTAGCTTATATATAATTATTACTGCCCCTTTTAAGACCTTTTTAAACACCTTAACTATAAAAGTTAGTAAACTATTTATATGCTTCTAAATTCTTATTTTTATAAGCATTAATTATAACTTAAGTTCTAGAGTATTACTTAGAGTTTACAACTACTAGGGCTTATTATATATAAGTAGTAGTAGTAATAGAGTGCGCAACTTTATATTAAGGCCTATTATAACTTATTATAAGTTAAAAAGAACTAATTTAGCGCCTTAAAACTCTTTTTAGATATTACTAAAAGTAATTACAGCATTATAGGCTACTTTAAAGTATAGTAAAAACTTTATTTTTATAATATAAGTAATTTAGTTATGCATAAAGTTTTTAGCTTAGCGCTTATATACTTTTTTTAAAAAAGTAAAACAACCTACATTAAGTAGCTATAAAAAGTGTAATAAGTAAAAAAGTATATAAATAGTAATAATCTTATTATTTTTATAGTATTACTAAAAATAAAGTAAGTTATAGCTTTTATAGCTGTTAATAACTAGTAGATAGTAGCTACTAATAGTACACTTTTTTATATGC